AGTCTACATCAACAATTGTAAAAAAGACAACACTAGTGTAAGTAGGAGAATGCTCTTAATTAATTAAGCTGCAAGTCTTGTTAGAATCCAAAGACTATGATCTCTGTTTCAACAAAACCGAAAAGAAGTGGAAGATGAAGAGGTTCTAAAATCATAGAAGAATTGCAGAGAGAGAGAGTTCAAGCTGAGCTAATGTTTTTCTTTATATTTCATTCATACTCAGCACACAAGGCATGTGCAAGAGATAACACTCTTAAGGGGAGAGAGACACTCTCTATTACAAATCAATCTCAACCATTCATGTAATCTACCCTCTGAGATAGTTACAAGAAACAAAACACATCATTAAAACTGAGATTACATCTCAGCTGTCCAATTGGAATGTAATCCAATGGCTCACAGTAAATGTATATTTAACTAGCACAAACACTTATATTCCAACACTCCCTTCTAAGTGTTGTGCTGAAATTATTCCAAGCTTCTTTCTCAAATATTCAAATCGATCTCTGGCCAATGCTTTGGTAAAGATATCTGCAACCTGCTCCTCAGGCTTGCAATACAGTAAATTGATCTCTCCAGTTTGTAATGCGTCTCGAATGAAATGAAATCTCCTGTTTATATGCCTTGTCTTATGATCATGCACAGGGTTCTTGGTTATAGCTATAGCTAATGTATTATCACATAAGATTGTTGTTGGCTCAACTTGTTCTTCACCGAAGTCTGAGAGAAAAAATCTCAACCAAATTGCTTGTGCAATGGCCTCTGCTGCACTAACATACTCAGCTTCTGCAGTGGATAGAGCTACACTACTTTGCTTGACTGATGCCCACGAAAATACACCTGAGCCAAGATTAAATGCATATCCGGATGTACTTTTCATGTCATCCTCACTCCCTGACCAATCGCTGTCACAGTAATAAGCATTGCTTCTTTTCCCTTCTCATATGTTATACTGTAGTCAAGTGTGCCTTGAATGTACCTAAGTACTCTCTTGGCAGTTCCCATGTGTTTTCTGGTAGGACCATGCATAAATCTTTCTAACAAACTTGCTGCAAACATAATGTCCGGCCTTGTTGTAGTCAAATATAACAGACTTCCAACTATCTGCCTATATAGATTCTCATCAGCTTGTTCACTACCATCCATCTTAGATAGCTTCTCATTCACTGCAAGAGGAGTAGCAACTGATTTACAATCTTTAAAGCCAAACTTATCCAACAATGTCTGTGCATACTTCTTTTGGTGCAAGAAGATATAAGAATCAGTTTGTATCACACCTAAACCCAAGAAATGATGCAGCAATCCAAGATCAGTCATTTCATATTGCCTCATCATTGCAGTTTTGAACTCCATCATCAATTCTTGTGAACTCCCAGTGTAAATGATATCATCCACATATAGTGAAACAATGAGTATTCCACTTTTGGTAGTCTTCACATATAAAGTTGCTTCACTATGACTCATTTGAAAACCAGCCTTGGTGAAGTAGGAGTTGATTTCTTCATACCAAGCTCTTGGAGTTTGCTTAAGACCATATAATGCCTTCTTAAGTCTGTAAACTCTATCCTCCTTGTTCTTAATCACAAATCCAGATGGTTGGTCAACATATACCTCTTCATGTAATATTCCATTCAGAAATGTTGACTTCACATCTAATTGAAACAGTCTCCACCTTTTCTGTGTAGCTAATGCTACAAGTGTTCTGATTGTATCAAGTCTAGCAACTGGTGCAAAGGTTTCATTAAAGTCTATTCCAGACTTTTGGGAGTTACCTTTAGCAACCAGTCTTGCTTTGTTTTTCTGCACAGAGCCATCGAGATTCAACTTGATTTTGTAAACCCATTTGACACCAATTACTGGCTTATCAGATGGCCTATTAACCAACTCCCAAGTATCATTCTTCTCAATCATTGCAATTTCATTGTCCATTGCTTTCTGCCATGATTCATCCTTGACAGCTTCTTCAAATGTCCCAGGTTCAATGATACATAAATTGCACCTTTCATATACTTCTGTGATGCTCTTATATTTAAGTGAAGTGTGATCATAATCCTGTGGACCTGTGCTTTCACTATGTCTTGCAGCACCATCTCCAACATGTATTTCTTCAACATTTTCTGGTATCACATTATCATCTTCTGAAATCTCAGTTTGAGTCAAATCAGATTCACCAGCCTTCTTCCCTTTCTTTGTAGGTATATCAATAAGTGGAACTGAAATACAATACTCCTTCTGTGCACTCCAATCCCAACTTGCTTCTTCATTGAATACTACATCTCAAGAAATGACAACTTTCCCAGTTTTAATGTTATACAGTTTGTAGCCTTTCTCACAACTTTCATACCCCAGAAATACACATCTTGTGCTAGACAAATCAAACTTTTGTCTTTGTTGTTCTGGAACATGTGCATAACACAGAGAACCAAACACCTTCATATGTTTAACTTCTGGCTTCCTTCCACTATAGGCTTTAAATGGAGTTTTATTAACCAAGGCTTTGGTTGGACACCTGTTTAGAACATATATTGCAGTGTTAACTGCTTCAGCCCAAAATTCTAGTGGCATTTTCTTATCAACCAACATACATTTAGCCATTTCCACAATGGTCCGGTTCTTCCTTTCAGCCACTCCATTCTGTTGTGGTGAATATGCCACAGTGAGTTGTCTTTCCATTCCCATTGCTTCACAAAACTTGTTGAATTCCAAAGATGTATACTCTCCTCCTCTGTCACTTCTTAGTTTTTTCAACTTATATCCACTTTGAAGTTCAACAGTAGCCTTAAACTTCTTAAAGACACTGAACACCTCAGATTTATACCTCAGAAAGTAGACCCAACACATCCGAGTACAATCATCTATAAAGGTGAGAAAGTACCTATTTCCTGCCTTTGTTAGTCTGCATTGGCCCACACACATCTGTGTGTACCAATTCCAGTGGAGTTGAAGCCCTATTTGTTGACTCTTTTGGAAAAGAATCTCTGCAATGTTTCCCAAGAATACACCCCTCATACACTTCATTGATGTTTTTGACTTCCAGCAGTCCAAACACCATCTCTTTCTCTTGTAAAAGCTTCAAGCTGTTAAGATTAAGATGTCCCATTCTCCTATGCCAGATTAAGGTTGATTGACCCACACTTGCTCTTAAAGCAAACTGCAATCCTGTTTGAAGTTTCAAAGGAAAACTTATGTTTCCTATCATTGGCACCTTAGCAATCAGATTTGATAAAGAGCAGTCATCATAAATTTCAACCTTATTATCTCCAAAAATCAGAAAATATCCATGCTCCATCATATGTCCTACACTAAGTAAATTCTCTTTAAGACCAGAGACTAGCATTACTTCTTTGATATACCTCCTTCCCATCTTAGTGTCAACCACCAAACTACCTTTTCCAACAACATCAACCAATTGTCCTGTCCCTATTTCTACTTTTGCAGTTATACGTCTATCAACATCAATTAACACATCCTCTCTGTCAGTCATATGATTACTGCAGCCGCTATCCACATACCATACATCTTCCATGGGCTTCTTATCAACTGCATTATTAACATAGAACATGGTTGGAACCTGAGTTGCATAATTTAGCTGCTGAACATTTTTCTTATTGTTGCAGTCCCTTGCAACATGTCCTAATTTCCCACAACAGTGACACTTAGGTTTGCCTTTAAGAAAGCATTCTCCATAATGATACTTATCACAGTGCTTGCAAGGATTTCTACCACCTTCTGCAGCTACAATTTGCTTCCCAGATTGGTAAGCAGGCTTTTGATCCCACTTTTTAAACTTTGGTTTCCAATTCTTCTGATATCGATTTCCAGAAGGATTAACAGGTTTGGGGTTTACACTAAGACTTGCAAATGCTCTCTCAGTCTTATTCTCACTATGTCTCTCCAATCTTTGTGCAAAACTTTTCAACGAGGCAACCACCTCTTGGACCTCAATCACATCTATATCCCTTGAGTGTTCAATTACAGAGCATATAGGATTATACACTGAGGGTAAACTAATCAACATTTTCTGCACAATTCTTTCTCTAGACAATTCTTCTCCATAACTTCTCATTTGATTTATCAGATCAAACAATTTTGTAAGATAAGCAGGCAAAGACTCATCATCCCTCATTCTAGTGTATTCAAATTCTCTACGAAGACTTTATAATTTGACACTTCTAACCTGTTTGTCACCATGGAATTCTTGCATCAAGATATCCCATGCTCATTTAAAGGTTTCTTCGTGAGAGATCCGAGGGAAGATCTCATCGGAAACTGCTCCTTGAATCAGCCCCAATGCTTTGGCATCTTTCATGAGCTTCTCCGATAGAGATGCAGCATCACTCGATCCCTCCTTATCCTTCGTCTTTTCAGCAGATTCATTAGCTCCCTTCGAATCTGAGCACTCTATCCCTTTTTCCACAAACTCCCATAATCCATGAGATTTGAATATAGTCTTCATCCTTATGCTCCAGAATTCATAATTCTCGCCGTTGAAGATCGGCGCTCCCAACTCACCACCTCCAGACCCTGCCATGTTAGACACAGATCTCGCAAGTAATCTCTTCAAATTTCAACTCGTTTCCTTCACAGATTCAATCGCCCAATGCTAAACGACTGAACCTGGCTCTGAGGCCATGTTAGAATCCAAAGACTATGATCTCTGTTTCAACAAAACCGAAAAGAAGTGGAAGATGAAGAGGTTCTAAAATCACAGAAGAATTGCAGAGAGAGAGTTCAAGCTGAGCTAATGTTTTTCTTTATATTTCATTCATACTCAGCACACAAGGCATGTGCAAGAGATAACACTCTTAAGAGGAGAGAGACTCTCTATTACAAATCAATCTCAACCATTCATGTAATCTACCCTATGAGATAGTTACAAGAAACAAAACACATCATTAAAACTGAGATTACATCTCAGCTGTCCAATTGGAATGTAATCCAATGGCTCACAGTAAATATATATTTAACTAGCACAAACACTTATATTCCAACAAGTCTTGCATAACTCGATCACTTGCTAATGAAGCTATGATATACATTGCGCAATCTTTCCAACCTAGTAGAAGCTGGAAGTGATGGGAGATCCCATGAGGAAGGAACTTGCAAATGTAAGGAAGAAAATTGACATGGCTAATCGAGAGCTGAAGCCGCTGGGACTGAGCTGCCAGAAGAAGGTGCAATCTAGCATTTCACACCAATATAAACATTCGATCATGCATCTACTCTGCTGGCATTATGTGTATATATTCTTGAAAATTAGAAGAAAAATAAACATCATCTTATCTGTCAACAAACAGGAAAAAGAATACAAAGAAGCCCTGGAAAGATTCAATGAAGAGAACAAAGAAAAGGCTCAACTTGTAACCACACTTATGGATGTAATTAAACATAATAACTAAATTATCCTTAATTAATTGTCCAGTCCACAAATTTAACTATTTTTACATGCATGGCCTTCTGCACTAATTGGAACTTGTTCTTACAATTTGTTGTAATCTGCTTAATTACCAACTGTTGACCGAGAGTGAGAAGCTGAGGATGCAGAAGCTAGAGGAGCTGAGCAAGAACATAGAACCAACACTCTGAAATTTTCTATTTCAAAACCAACACTCTGAAATTTTCTATTTCAATTTGCATCTTTTCCAAAAAGATAATTATCAATGTAAAAGATTAAAGACCGAAGACGAACCTGCATTCAAAGTTTTATATTAAAACACCAACGCATGCAATTACTAATTTAAATACGACACGCATGATTTTGCAGCTCATATTTTTCATCAACATCAAATGTGATAAGAGTCTAAATTCGGTAAGTTAAAATCATAAATTTACATGACGCGTACGCATTAATGTATTAATAAAATTGACTAGCGAGGATGAATATACAAAACAAAGAATGATTTACTGACTTGTATGTATATGCACTCTGAGACGTCAATAAAATTCATTCGATGATCAATTTCTGTGATAGCATATGACATCTTTTTTTATAAATAAACAATCTTTATGATTCAATTATTAGAATCCTTGTAGTAGACCAACATTATTTCCTGATGTTAATATAAGTGAGTAGTCACTTATTGTTATTGCATAACGGTATTCCTCTTCATTTACAAGTGAGATGTTTTAGGTTCGATTCTTGCTAAAGGCGAAATCGAGCCACATTATTGCTAGCCCATTGGGAGTTCACTGGCGTCGGGTTCCGTAGGAACTCCGAAGTTAAGCGAGAAGGTGGCCAGAGCACTCCCATGATGGGTGACTCGCTGGGAAGTTGCTCGCGAGTTCTCAAAAACAAAACCTTAAGGGAATGGTAAGCCCAAAAAGGACAATATCGTGCTACGGTGGTGGAGCGGGCCCGATAAGTGGTCCACCTAGGGCCGGGATGTGACAAATGGTATCAGAGCCAATCCCTGGCCGGAAGTGTGTCGATGAGGACGTCGGCCCCTAAGGGGGGTGGATTGTAACATCCCACATCGCCCAGGGGAGTGATCCTTAAATGTATATTCTCATGCCTACTTAGCACGAGGATTTTTGGGAGCTCACTAGCGTTAGGTTCCGTAAGAACTCCGAAGTTAAGCGAGAAGGTGGCCAGAGCACTCCCATGATGGGTGACCCACTGGGAAGTTGCTCATGAGTTCCCAAAAACAAAACCGTGAGGGAATGGTAAGCCCAAAGCGGACAATATCGTGCTACGGTGGTGAAGCGGGCCCGGGAAGTGGTTTGTCCCGGGCCGGGATGTGACAATTGAAATCAAAAGCTCATATTACATCTCTCTTCGCAATCACTGCTGCCAGATTATCATCTCTAACTCTCCATGGTTTCTAATCCATTGAAATAATAATAAAAAAACCCATATGAAACTTTCCCAATTTTGAGTTTAATTACCCCACAACAACAAAATTTAATCATCAACTAATCCCAAAATCCAGATGAAATCTCTTAATTATCGATCCACCATCATGGGTGTGAAAACGAAGACGGCATGGCTCATGAGCGGCGTGATGTTAGGTTGGGTTTAATTTGCCGGTGGAAAACGAAGACACGCATGCAAGGAATTTCAAGATCTTTTCTGGTGTGTTGGTCGGCATGATGTCAAGTTGGGTTTAATTTGCCGGTGGAAAAGCTAGAGAATTGTTGTTGGGTCGGAGAAGAAACAGGAAGAACAACAAATGAATTTTTCAGTGAAGAAGAGTTCGCGAGAGAAGGAAAGTGAATGCAATCCGACTAATAATTCAACCAATTTGGACAGTATTATCAAGCAGGTATACACCGTATAAAATAAGTGGAACCGGTTAAATAATCTTGTGGATATTTAATCCTATTTGATCCCTTATACAAGCTACCAAACGAGGTCATAGATGGCTGGTTTGGTATTGTTGTGCTTTGAAAAAATGCTGCTGTGAGAATAAGCGGATATGCTGTGAGAATAAGCGGCTGTGCTGTGAGAATAAACGGATGTGAAATAAATCAGCAGAGTGTTTGGTAAACTTTTTTTGTAAAAGTGCTTTTGGAAAAAGAAAAAAAAGCAGTCTAATAGTGGGTCTTTTCATTAAAGAAGCATTGTAGCTCCGTGTGCTTTGAAAAAAAACCAGTTTTCCAAAGCTACAAATAGCAGCTTCAGCTTTTTCCTTTGATTTCAGCTTATTCTCACAGCAGCTTCCAAAATAAGCCTTTTTTTTTCAGTTTATCAAACACCTAAAACCCTCACAGCTTTTTTTCATGGGTGCTTTTTTTTAAGCACCTCACTCCCAAACTAGGTCAGAGTCTTGTGGAAGGCATGCCCGAGGTTCAAGCTCGATCCGGCTTAGTGTAGCACAGCTCAACGCGGCTTAGCGCACAGCTTCAGTGCGGCGGCGCGGCTCCAGACCGTGGCTCGACCGCGATTTTCCCATTCGTGGCTCTAGACCTTTAAGGGAAGTCCCCCATTTTTTGTTAATGTGAATTAGTTGTTGAGCTCGTACCACATTAAACTTCAACAATCTAAACCGTCTATTATTTGAGGCATCTAATTGAGTTAAAAGAAATTGATCAACACTTTGTTTTATAAGAAATGATGAAATTTCGTGATAATTAAATAGGCAAATAGTTTCGAATTGAATTGAATTTTTGTAAGGATGATCTATGAATCGAGACTTGCAAAATAGAGAGTGAGTCCCACAACTAATCCCTATTTTTTTGGGAAAAAAATGGGGATCCCTCCCCTTGAAGGGCCTACACACACACACACACACACACACACACACACACACATATATATATATATATCAATTGCGTATGCATGAACATTCTTATATATATTGACAAATATATGCACATATACGATGTATATAATAGTAACATTATGCAATAATAGATTGGGGGTTCTTGTATTATGGAGAATGTTTTCATGCAAGTAAGGGCTTATAAAATATCAAGCATGTGTTTTAGAAGAACCTGATCGGCTATAAAAGGAAAATTGAGCCCTTAAATTTGTAGAAGAACCTCCTCCACGAACCTTTAGTTCCTTTGCGTCATCAAGATCGTGCTGATAACGTGTTGTATGCCTATTTAACTGAAGAATTATAGAGAGGGAGAGAGAGGGGCGCGACACACAGAGAAAGAGAGAGATTTGGTGAATTTTGAAGTGTGTGCTATCTCACCCCAGTGTGCATTTATTTCTAGTAGTATGGAAGGTAAATTCCTTACCGATTAGGTATTACATCTAAAATAAGATATTATCTAAAAGATACTACAGAATCCCAATAGGATTTACACAATCATATTTCCAACCTTATTAGGACTGCAACATATGTTTTATTTTTACCACATTTTTTTACTGCTTAACTTTAAAGTAAATCAGCTTTTGGTGAAAAAAAATCAATACCAGATATGACCTTGAGATTACTCATGATCAATCTCCATAGATGGCACATATAGAGTTTGTTACCTAATTATAGGTGTTCAATTATGTAGTCCATACATTCATTCCCAATATTATTGTATATAAAAACGAATGTGAAGCCACTTAAGACTACGGTCTAATAGTATTCCTCTTCACTTATAAATGAGAGGTTTTAGGTTCGATTGTTGTCAAATACAAATTTGAACCACATTATTATTAGTCTATTGTGAGACTTAACCCGCTCTCTTACCTCCTTAATTTAGATAGTATCGTTTGTTGAAAAAAAGAAATTTGTGAAGTCGTAAGAATTTACTAGAATCGTTTATTTAGTAACAAGAGAATATAAAGTCATGTAGTTCACTAGGGCAACTTCTAGCTGTTTCTACCTTTGTGGCTTCGCCTTCGACTCTATCCCATCACGTTCTCATCACGAGGTTTTACAATAGAATCTAAGCTAGCCTATAGATCATATTGAAAATGTGACTTTATCTTTTGAAATTCAATTTTTTTTTTCATATAAATTTTAACATAATTTTTCACTCTAATAAATTTCACATAAAAGAATTCATTAATTATGTTTAATTTTACACATTATACATCTTTTGGATGCAGAAACTGCCCCTATTTGACTGTTGTTATTCACAATTAATTTCAAGTGGATTGTAAAGAGGATTAATGATTTTATAAAAGAAAAAAACCATTATGTGTTGTGGCCTATATTTTACAGAGATATGCGGCAAAGAGAAGAAGAGAGATTGGAGAATAGACTTGAGGAATTGTGTGTTAATTCCCCAGTCCTTGTGCCTTTATTTATAGTAATTAGGAGGAGAGAAACTTGCTCTCCAAGTAATACAAAGTATATTAGGAAAGATCTTCTAGATCCCAAAGGATTCCTATTTTATCTCTACTTAGGATTTACACAATCACATATTGATAAGAACATATGTCACAACACTCCCCCTTGAGTGTGCAAATACTCAAGTAGATGGCGCATCAGATCTTCAGGCAAATGTAGAAGTAGTGGATGAAATCGTCTCGTTTAGTCGGCACAAGTAGCGAATGCGAGTCTCAAAAGACGGAAGAATGCAGGAGTGGTAAAACTCACAAAACCTTACTATGGCAAAAACCCAAGGTGGGAGAAAAGCCCATAGGCTAAGGAGAAAAGTGAGAAGTTGCATTAAGTCAAAACTATACGTCTTCTGGACGCAAGTAGAAGAGCTCACAAGGGTATGATCAGCCCAGGATGGGTGCCTCGTTAAAACCTAGTTAGGTAGCAAAAACCCAGTGGGAAAAATGCTCCTAATCGTAGGGAAAAAGAGTACATTAAGATCAAGTGAGTATACTTCTAGATACTCCCCCTGAGTTTGACAAAACTTCCAAATGAAACTACAAGCATTGCAAATGAGAAAGTTACGCATACCAATTCATTGGACAAGCTTCTGGAAGGTAGACTTTGGTAGTGACTTTGTGTAGATGTCGGTAAAGTTGTCTAGGATTGGACTGCTTGACTTCAATCTTCTGATGCTCATGCTGATGTAGACACAATATGCTTGGTGTTGACTTTTTTGGATGTATCATGATCCGGTCGATACATACAGCGTTGTATTCATGGATCGTTGTTGGGACTCAACGATGGATGAAAATCGCAAGGATTTTGAATATGCTCAACAAGAATTCTCGACCATATCTCTCACGTGATGAGACA